GTACCACCAACTACAGAAGCCTATTACGCTTCACTTTTGATGAAATTAAGAGAAGCTATCAAAATCAAGAGGGTATCCTCCTCCTGCAGGACAACACTCTGGTCCACAACTAGCATGTCGCCAGATCAGAAGCACGGGCGTGTGGCTATTAAATCCCCACCATCCCCCTTACTCTCCTGACCTTGCACTCTCTGACTTTCATCTCTTCCCAGCCATGAAGTTGTTTTTGAAAGGAAGGCGTTTCCCAGACGATGCAGCCTTGATTTCTGAAGTTACGACATGGTTGGAGGACCAATCTAGGATGCTCTACAAAAACGGTGTCCAGAGCTGCATCAAACGATGGGAGAAATGCATAACTCTGGGTGGTTCCTATGTAGAGAAAGACTAATAACTGTGCCAAGTTTCAGTAATCTCCTGCTTTGGGAAATGGGTCAGAGACATTACTTAGAACGCCTCTCGTATCATGTTGCCAGCTCTGTGATCTTTGTTTTTAAATTAGTATTATAAAAGCTCTGTAATTCTGTTCTAATAGCTGAAATAAATTTCTGTGAATTTTGATTTTCATTTGTCAAATGAACAGTTTGTCAAATATAGAATACATATTTTTGAGTAAAATTTTCCTTTCAAAATGTGGATGCAACGTTTTGCTCTTTATGTATTTTTGCATTGTTATATTTGATAATTTTGGACTAAAACAGATTTTCTATTGGCTTCAGGTAACTGATCAAAAGTTTGGCACCCAATTAGTAGGAGTGCTTATATTGATTATCTGACATCTTGTTTTCTGTGAAGATTTTATTGGTAGGTTTGTAATTGTGTATCAGACTGAGCAACAACTCTCACCATGAGTTGGTTTTGCAACCCAGTCTAGTATACCCATGGGATTTGGGAGATACATTACCAACGATATTATTACAAAATAAATGATTTGCTTCATTGAACACATACAACAATGCATATTTCCACTGAGATCAATGACCTTTGAATGTGTATCACCAGTGATCAGTCAAGTAGCAACAGTCAAAATATTTTATCAATTTTTGCATACAGGACATCTGTTGTTCTTACTAAGGGAAGACTTAATACTGATGAATAAGGTGACCAAGTTCGATAAAGTTTGGAATAGAATTATACAATAATAAATATTAACGATGACGACACCGACAACGACGGACAGAATATTTCCTTTCCTCTTTTATGATACGGGCAAGGCAACAATAAAATAATTTTATTGATGTAATTATTGTAATAGGAAGTCAATCTTTAATTGCATGCACAAAAGAATTACCTTGTACATGTAACAAGACGACTGACGGCCAGCTGTTATCTCGAATCATGAAACCACAGCATGTGCATTTGTCCCGCATATAGTACTGGGCACATACAAAAAATGAACAAATTTGATCAAGAGGGTTGTGAAATAACTTCTGACAAACAGACGAACAGAAACCAAATTATAAGTCCCTGTTTCGAACTTTGAACGCAGACAATGCCAATCATTGATCAAGAGAACCCCCCGAACCAACAAGACTCTTCTGTACTCGGTATAGCATCAACAAGATTGTTTTAGAAAGATGCGAGAATAGGATTGTATAAATAATAAGAATAAATAACAATAAACACGAATAAATAAACATAAACATAAAGATAAATGAAACATTTGTGTATTTTATTTGAGATGTATGATAATATTATACAACAATTTAAAGAATATACCTGTAACAAGCTATACAAATTTAGAGTGTACAGAGACACCAGTAAATCAGTAAAATATGCTGTTTCGGCTAATAATAACCACACTAACTCTAAGAACAATGTAGCCCAAATGTAAGCCTTTTTGTTTGGTTTTCCAATATTTACCCCCCCCCCCTGAAAATTTAACATTAAAAAAAAATTTTTGAGGGAAATGGGCTTGACGACTTGGTTGCTTCAGTTTTTAACTTTTGCACAAACACAGAAATATTTAACTTAATCTCAAGCAATGGTTCCTAATTTCTGCTAAAATGTATTTTTATTTCAAACTGAGGCATTATGGGTAGGGAAAAGGAATCCAAAATTAAAAGGCTATCCAGCATGCATTAGCTGTACTAGAGTTTTGTATATTGGATATTTCTAGGAGAAGCTTGGTTAACCATTTGAGGGAAACTATACGATTGATACAATCAAAGCATCACTATCGACACAAACACTACATATTGCATATGTTGCATGGTGCGTGTATCAAACATGATGTGCTGTGTTATAACGTCAAATACCGTATGAGAGATTATTCTCACTTGAAATGAAATATTGAGACAGGAGAATACCAGTT